AAACAAGATTGAGCCACTCCTGCACCATGGCAAGAAGGTAGGCGGGCTGTTGGCTTCTATTGAGTAGCCTAGCATTCTTTGAAACTTCATCAGAGATGTAGCCTTCATATGATTAGCATAATTCTACCCATAAATTACCAGCTTGACAGCTCGTCGACTTGCTGCATGAGCCAGCCACTTACCGAAAGCCCGCAGAGTCGTGATGCCCCTCACGGTATCCATGAAATGGGTGCTGAGTTTGTAAGCCATTAAATTCTCTATAGAGAAAGGTTTTGCTGTATAACTTACTACAAGGGGCTTTTAGCCTCGAGATCGAGCAGCCTTAGTTGCCTAGAAGTTCTAAGATAGAACTTTTGCACTGAGTAGAGTATAACAGCCAGGAATGGATAACTGATAGCCAAGTATGCAGATGAGATTGGCATAACTGCAGCTTGCCCGAGAGCTTGGAAAACCTGTTCCTTGTTGTTAGTAGTACTGATAGGCATTTATTATCTCATGACTCACACAGAACAAGGTGTTCAACAAAGCGTCTGGAAGTTCAGTATCAATCAAATTGAGATCTTGTGAGAAAAGATTGGTAATAACGCCGGTATCAGTCTGTGTGAAAAAGGACAATGGGGCCTGGATTAAAGTTTTGAGTGTATCATGATGCAGATTAGCACCCGCTCTCTTGATCGACACGATAAAAAGAGTGATGCCGAGGAGTAGCAGGGAGATCAGAGCGGAGACCTGTAACAACGCGTATATGCCAACATAGTAAGCATGAGAGTGACTTCGAGTGTCGGATGATATATCATCAGTCCAAAATTTGATCCCTGTAGATCGTTAGTTATGTGAAGAATAGTGACAGATTGAAGCATTGTCCACTGACAGATGGTGGGGAAATTGGTAAAGAAACCCCAGAGGGCAGCCAAGAAGAAACAGCAGAAGGCCACCAAGATTCCCATGCTCATAAAATAGTACTTGTAAACCTCCTTGTCGCCTGTTGCACGATTCGGGTCATCGAGGCTGACTTCGGCTGTTGGGGGCCCGTCTGGTGAGCCTTGTGCATCCTTTTGTGCTTCAGTCTGCTCTTTCGAGGCTGCTATTTCAGACACAGCGTCACTGTGGTCACCTTCAGCTGAACCACGTATTCCGAGACTCTTGACGTAGCCTCCTTGCTCAGCAAGTTCCTTGAAGCTGCCTTGCTCCTTGATGGTGTTGTCCCCAAGAGCAATGACATGATCAGAGAATGGGAGAAAGCGAACGCTATGAGTACACAACACAACGGTCGTGCGTCTCTCTCTAAGTAAGCCTCCAGGTCCGAATACTCGTTGGAAAACGTGCAGCTCTGTATCTGCATCGAGACCACTGAACACATCATCCAATATCACCAAGTCAGACTCTAGATACAAGGCACGCGCTAAGGAAACACGCTGTTTCTGACCTCCTGACAGGGTAATGCCATCCGAACCGACATTGGTTTGATCTCCTTGAGCGAGTTTGGCAAAGTCCACTGACAATGCTGTGGCCTGGATGACTGAGTTGTATCTCTTTTCATCGTATAGTGAAAAGCCAAGAATGTTATCGCGAATGGTCCCGTTCCATAGAAAAGCAGTCTGGTCGCAGAACCCGATACGAGGGTATCTCATACTCAACACTACACTCCCTTGGCTCAATGGGATTTCACCCAGGAGAGTCTTGCAGAAGGTTGACTTTCCTGAACCCACTGGCCCAACTACCATGGTGAGAGAAGACTTTTCGATACGTGCATTGATATCTTGAAGAACAAAGACATCTTCTTTCCAGCCAAAATTGCCGTTCTTTATGCTAATCATAGTAGAGTCAGATGCCGTCTCGATCTCTGAACTACCCGTGTTTGCTTCGATTTCAGCATAAGTGAGATCCTTCTTGCGATCAGACAGGACTTGACGAAAGTCATGGCGGGTTTCGCACTCTAAAAAGGCCTGGATTCGACCAATGCACGCGATTCCAGAGACCAGTTCGGGGATGGAGGTGAAGATTTGAGAGAGGGGATTGGTAAGCAGCATCAAAAATGCCAGACTTGTAAAGACCTTTGAGGTATCAAGTGAAGCCCGGGTAAAGGCAAGGGTCAGGGGAGGACTGATGAGCATGGGTGTGAAGCCAAGCATGGCGGCTACGATGAAGATCTTGCGAAACCGAGCACCAGCGGCAAGCTCCTCTACTCGCAACTTCTGAACGAAGGAGCTCACAGTGGAAGCCAGACCGGAAAGCTTGAGGTTCTTCATTCCGGAAATGACTGTAGCCGTCAAACCGACGCGCTTCTGCACGCCTGTCATCCACGCTCTCTGAGAATCTCCTGTGAAGTTTACCAGAACTCCCAAGAGAGTGAAGCACACCACAACTACTCCTATGGGTACAAGAAAGACCAGTCCCAGCCTGATATACAGCATCCAGGCAGCTAGGGCAGCCTGTATAACGCCTGCCCAGACATTATGCAGCATTCTGAGACCGAGTCTGATTCTTTCTATGTCGGTACTCATCAGAGTCAGGGCAGCATTATGGTCGTCTGCTCCGATGCGGGCTTGTGTGGCTCTGGAGAATATCTCTGTCACCAGTATAGATCTAGTCATTGCTCTCATGCGGTGGTGAAGATACCTGCTATATGTCAGTCTCTATCCAATGACTTTGGAATTATGATCTGACGTACCAGCAAAGAGCAGCCGAGACAGCCATACCAAGGTAGATCAGAATTGCAGCACCTATGAAGCCATACCCCACATTGTCTTCGATTTCAGGCTGCGAAAGATGATCCAACAGCTTTTCAATGAAGAATGGTTGACAGAAGGTGAAGCCTAGAAGGGCGAGTCTCAAAGGAATTGGGAGAAGGAGAGGGACAATAAGAGTCTTGACGAGGATTTTGACGAGGCCGTAGCTATCTCCTTTGAGTTTGCTGTAGTCCATGTTGGCCAAGAACCTATCATGGAGTTGCTTGCTATGCAGAGCAACATCCAGAGGGTAAAGATCATCCATGGATAGTGTAGATCTATAACCCTGCAAGAAAATACTGTTTAGCCATGACAGGACGCCGAGTGAGAAGATGCTGCTGGTCTCTTCAGGGCTATGTTCATCTCTGTCCCACTGTAACCATTTGTTTTTTGACTTGGTTTCTAGGAACAGAATGACGGCCTTGACGGCCAAAGATGTTGTGAAGACGGCACTGTAGGTAGTCTCAGGTGTACTCTCAGAGAGCAGGAACAGCGTGCGGGACTGGGCAATGTCGAACAATAGAGTCAGGAACAGAAAGGTGTTTAAGAGAATCGAGGGACGTGGACTCCTGTTATGATCAGTATAACTGATCATCACCATGGCCAAAGCTGCTACGAGGTTGAGAACCGAAGATGCGATGAAGATTGGAGTGACATGGAACGAGCCCATGCCCACTTGAATCAGCAGCGCGATCTGAAGACCAACATAGGTTATGATAGCTCCCTAAATCAAAGTTAGTGATGAGCGTTAATGGCCTTATATTTTTTGACGACATACCAATTTGATGAGCTGGAAGATTGGTGCGTGAACCACTAGGGGCTTGCGTGACAGATTGATAGCGCGCCATAGTGAGCACACGATAAACAAGGTGCATGGAAGGATAGAGAAGAAGAGCTGTTCAAAATGAAGATTGAAGTCGAACCGGTCTCGGTTCATGTACAGCAAGCCAAACTCGCCGTCGTGGAATGGCATCTTGGCAGAGTTGGCTGTTGTTAAGGTGAAGAGTCGAGTCTCGTGTGTAGGTGAGATGACTCGAGGAGCTGCCGGGGACACCTTAAGTCGGATTGATTAGTCCGGGTTGGCACTTTACTTTCGCTAGATTGCCTGTTTACAGTATGCAATACAGATGGAGCCTAGAACCGGGGCTTTTAATTGCATGGGCTAGGCTTGGGTACTGGGTAGTTGAGTTGAGTAGAGTTGTCAGGAATTGCTTTTGACAAGTTGTCTCCCATTCTGAGGCACATAATAAGGCAGTGTCAATACTCCTTCCTATTTGGAACTGTCAGCATCTCTCCATCGACTCATATGTAGGTGAGAAACGAGGACTAATGCACTTCGGCCTTGCAAGGAAACGATGAATATGTTCCGTGGTCCTGCTAACCAGAACCAGGCTGATGCTGCAGATTTCTGATGTAACCACAACTGCGATCGTATTCCCGGATAAATATCCCCAAAAGAAAACAACCTGACCCCCAAACATACAAGGGAATGAATGCATGGCCCGCAATCCTTCGAGATAAACACGAGGGTCACTCTAATTAGTCTCTGTACGGGCGATATACGGGCTCGTTTTGCAGTCCGAGGCCTTGCTCCGCTCAATAATCTGGGTCTGGGTGAGACAACTTGGAAGGTAGTATCAATTCGAGGCGAACCAACGCGCCGTGAACTGACATGATCAGTTATCGGGACCCCTGCTCGTGCTGTTGGTTCTATGAAACGACCAACACTCAGGCAGGGTTAGGTAAATCCAAGTATTGTGCCATTACGTAAAACAACAACGATACGGAGTGATCATTCTATGGACGGTAAGGTCTTGAGTTATCTAGACTAAACTTTTAAGTTGAAGCATAGAGATAAACTACTCGGGAAGATCTAAACTTAACCCTCATGCGGTTACTGTAGGCGGGACGGCAAAATTCCCCGCTGCGTTGGGCTTACGATGGACACCCCAGTCCATCCCACTAAAACGAGCACCCTGTCAGAGTTCTTTTGATATATGCAATCAGCGTCGAGGTTCTCCTAATTCTTGGATTTATACTCCGTACATACCGGGGTTTATCCAACACATACATACACCATGTTACATCCACCGGGGTCTCAGGGGTACTTCATCTGCGATTGGCTATCCAACTACTCAACTCGACCTCATCCAAGGCAGCATCTCTTCGTACTGGAGTTTTCGTATGCACGGGACCCTGTTCTACAGCGAGACCAAGTCCGTCAATCACCATAGGCTAGCCTAACACAATGACAAGAAGCTAGTGAGCAAGATGTTGGTGACGCTTCAACTCAATATAAATACTCGTCGACATAGACAGACAGGTCTTGGACTCCCCACGAATACAGCAGTCCCCAAAAAACGTCGAGAGATCTCTCCTGCTCAAGTTATTAGTATGTTCTTGGAAGAAGTCTTGGAACCTACTCCCAAGAAATCACGATCTCGTCGATCCACTAGTCCAAGGGCTGTTCAACGACGAAGGTAAACAACTCGATCTTAGGGATCTCATCAAGTTATTCTTGCTAACTCGGAACTTGGGAAGAATTCAGAACAGATTATCTCAGCGTAACCACCGTAAGTATAAACCAGTCTCATAACATCCAAACTGGCTAACTGTCTGGATATAGGGCGAAGAGCAAAAGAGAGCAGCGAGGCTACCAAGACACTACAATACACAGGCGGAGACGAAGGCGAAGGCGAAGGCATAAACTCAGAAAAGCTTACGGTAGCCATGTCTGATAACAGCACAATGCAGCAAGGTTGTGGCCCCGACCCGTCCCAAAACCTCCATTACCTGCCAGGGAGCTATCACGAGCCTCTCCAGTATGCGAGCAGTTCCGAAAACTCGGTCGACTACTTTGAACGTCAACAGCTGTCCCACAGCCATCTAAGCTCTGCCCCAGCAACTGCAACCTCAGCGTGGTATTCAGCAGTTGATATGCACAACCTTATCGCACCCGAAGACATGGTTTCTTTGTTCTCACCGGACCGGGAATGGTCACAGTCAGACATAGAGCGTTTGTCAGCACCAATGGAGTCCAACACTACCAGGCCAGATTCTCAACCCCTGTGCTCTTGTCGTAACAGCTCGGAGCCGGTGCTAGGACAAATCCCAGAGGGCTTTCCACTATGGCGCCAGAACGAGCAAGGGCCTGATATGCGCAGGATCCCATCGGCGCAGAGCCATTCTGACTTGGACTCGCACAGAGTACGCGGGTAAGTCATGGGACTCCGGTAATATCTCGCAACTTAAGCATATCCACTGACACGCATTTCAGTGAGACCGGTCATCACGGACCGGGCCCCGGTCTGCATAACAGCGCCGCAGGAATGCCGCATTCGACGCTGCAGGGGGGGCACGTCAATGCTTGCTGCAGCAGCAGGCTGTCATCCCTATCTTCATCCAAAGTATCCTCGTCGGCGGAGGAAACTAGCCCGTCTCCAGTAGCCGAACTGACCCGCCGATTCGACTCCATCCTAGAAACCATGCGCACATCGGGTTTCCACAACTTTGACGAGATGGCAGTGGCTTACTATACTGGCCGGTTCAGCACGGGAAGTGTCCCGTCAATCATGCAGTGTTCAAGCCGGGGCCGGCGCTTGAAAGTGATACTGCAGAAACTTCACCAGGATAGTCAGGAGTGGCCCAAGTGGGAGTCCAGGGGGCTCCATGAGAGCATGTCGACTGCAACTGGTAAGAAGTAGTCCATTGACCGATATGGTGTCCAAGGAGGGCAATGTCTCTCATCAACCTGATACTAATCCGATTCATAGCATCACTTTGCGTCGATGAAATTGAACAATTGGTCAAAGAAGACTTTCCAGCACAGGCTCGAGACAAACCAACATGTAGTGGGACGACACTCGATCAGCTTCTCTCAACATATGATATCGGAAAGGTCTTTTCCAGAAGCAAAGAACAGTCATTATCTCCCCTTACCTCCGAGGTGGCTCCAGATAAGGTAAGTAACAAGCAATCGTCTTCGGCTTTCGCTAAGTTACGGTTAGATACCGCACCTCTGGTCATTACTAACTGAGCTGGCTGGCATACGGAATGTGTATTGCGATGAAATCGCCAGGTTGTTACTTGGTATTCTTCTTCTATCTAGGAGACTTTTATAAAGAATAGATGCAAAACTTGTATTGTAAGGGTTATATATTTGTGCTTCGCAAGGACCACTGCAAAAATCTCTTGATTCTTGAACTTGTGCCCTAGCCAAATCAAGATCGATTGTTTAAGCCTAGAATATTACAAGAGTCAACCAAAATATAAGCAGAGAATATCGAATTGCTTGATATACCTTCATAAATTATGCATGTTTCCCGAGTCTCCCGAACGACCACATCATTACTGCTGAAATACATATTTGACTTGGCTTTTGTTCCAAGGAAGCCAGATACTTACTTCGTAGATCTGTGTATGCGTATTGGGTCACACGGAGGCATATATTGAGTAAACACCGAGACGCATTATACCCTTTTTGCAAGAACAAATACTTAATCATCCAACCCAATGAGCTCATACATATTCACAGCTCGAGCCAGGTTAGTATGACGATAGCTCTGGCACGTATTGTAGCTGACCAACTTGCAGTGCAGGTTATCTCGCCTACATGAACCTTTCAGCCATGACAGACGCATTTTGAGAGAAGAATGAAGAATTTATGAAGAAATATCAAGGCTAGATGACATCAAGTATTATCATATCCTTCTCAGATCCGATGCTCACACTCACGCTTATGCTTATGCTTCTACCATACCACGACATGCCATGCGTCTAGAGAGTTCTGTTGGCCTTTGCGTAACATCCCATGCTTGCGACAAGATTCCCACCAAAATTAAACCCTAGACCAAGAAAAGAAAGACTATCATACAAAAAAAAGACAATCTATCAATCTTGCTCAAGATAAAAAAATGTATAAGAAATTGGTCGTCTCATGCAGTAACAGCAGCTGCAGCGGCTATCTCCCCCTCGGGATCACCGGGCTCAACAAACGTCCGCCAGACATCAATCCGGTTCGTACCCGGGGTCCGTGGACCAAGACCGGCGAGCTCGGAAGACTTGCGGTTCTCACTACGTCGCGTACTCTTTCGACTGCGCGAGCTGTGGCTGTAGTACGAATCGTCGTCGTCGTAGGTATTCGGATCACGCTCCACGATCAGAGGGCCTACACCTCCGCGGTATCCTTCCTCTATCACGGGCGGTGGCATTCCCATTGGCGGTGGGCGCATGCCTGGAGAGTCTGGGGCGTAGCGGTCTTCGGAGTGGCGTCTGTCCATGCGGCCGCCGTAGTATCCATTGCTTCTGGGGGTGCCTCTTTCAAAGTCTTTTGGGGATGGGGGAGCACCGCCGACGACTCTGCGACCTACACGGCGAGGACTATCGCCTGAGTAAGGATCGCTGGTCCTAGGTATTTCTGGAGCACCGCCAATATCGTATTCGTAGTCTTTGCCGTGATAATGCGACCTGCGGACCAATTCATCGTCACGTTCCTCCTGTTGTTGACGCATAATAGCTTCTTCATCGTAAATCGGTGGTCGTGTGGGTTTAGACTTTCGCGGCCGTCTAGCAACGCGAGAATCTTCTTCAGTGCTATCTTCACGAAAGACCTGAATCTCGCCCCGATGTGTGACATCTGGCTCGTGATCGGATTCGGGGGCATCAGGGTCGAACCATGGACAGTCGCATCTCTTGGGTTTCTCTCCACAAACGAGGCAGAATTCGGCACCACAACGACTGCATATGTTAGAAAAACTCATATTGAAGAGCTAAGGAATACTCACCACAAGGCATGATTGTCACCCTCTCGGAGCTGAGCTGAAGCACCGCATCTATAGCATCTTTTCCGCCCTTCAACTCTGACATATTCAAGAAAACTCGCCGTCTCTTCGTCCCTAGGACACTTGCTCGCAAAATGCCACCTGCCATTACAGGCAACACAAACTTTCGTGTTGCACTGATCACAGCGAGCAGTTTTGCGTCCCGTCTCGCGATCGCGGTAAATATCAGCTGGTCGAATCCATTCACCGCATCGTCGAGAGGGACAGTAGAGCCTGTTCCTCAGGGAGTACTCAACAAACTTCTTGTTCCATATTCTCTTGAACGTAGAATCAAAAAGCCTGTCAACATGCTCCAGACCAATGTGGGCATCGGTGCAGCATGTTGGCGGCATATGTTCAGGTTCTGTCATTGATTGCTTGAACCGCCTCTTCAGACAGCTGTGGCACATGCGATGGCCGCAATCAAGTTTGGGACATTTGGATATAGGAAGCTCCTCTAAACAGCCCTTACAATCACGGCTGAAGTATAACTGTTAGCAATTGATCACCACAATGTGATTATACCACTCACATTAGACGTGGTCGGTCTGGGGATGAATTTCTGGATGAATCAAGGCCACTGCGGGCTATACTTGGGGGACGACGCGAAGACTCCCTAGACACTTCAACGGTTTCAATTGTAGCTATAGGGAGTCTCCGAGGACGGCCCTCACGGACTAATTCACGAGACTCAACCACCTTGGCAGTTCTGATTCTTAATTAGTATTGGAGATAAAAAGTAATTGTAGATAGCTTACCTTCTAGATGCTACAGGCGGCCGAGACGCACCAAGCACACTGTTAAATCTTGTGGGAAGACTGTATCTAGGTGCATCGCTGATCTCTCGTCTCAGAGCAGGTCTGCGGTCTGGCGAGCCTCTTTCAGAGGAAGCCTGTCGATATCTTATTTCTCTTTCGTCCGAAGTCGATGGCGATGGTATTCTATTCCGCCTCCTTGGTGTCCTCTTTTCATCTGGTGAGCTGAGATAATCGTCTGGGCTGGGTGATCGGCGGTGTCGACGATGATGGCGTCTATGTTTGTCCTCTGGTTCTTCCACCACAACCTCTATCTGGTTCTCATCGTCGCTGTCCTCCTCGCTCTCACTTTCACTCTCGCTTTCACTATCTGTTGGCGGTGTCGACTCGGGCGTAGGCTCTCTCCGTCTTCGGACCACCTGCCGGGGCCTCGCGGGCTCCGGGCGTCTACCCCGTGGCTTCATAGCTGGCCAGCGTTCATCATCCTCGTCGTCTTCGTCTGCTTCATATACCGAGAACTGAGGGCGTTTCTTGTAGACGTCTGTCGAGGCACGCATCAAGTGTGCTGGCTGCATGGGCATTGTAGGCGGGTATGCATCGAGGCTCATACTCCTGTGGTATCCCCTGGGTGTCCTTCCGTTGGGCCTTTGTAGTTCGTCGACTCGGGTCCGATGGGGCATTGGGTACTGGTTATAGGGCACGACGTCACGGGGGCCGTACCAATCGTGAGATCCATATTCAGGGCGGAGGGGCCTGCGACGCACGAGTGGAAGTCGGGCCTCTCCATCAGCGACGTCTCGATCGTATCCTAGCCTCATTTTTGCAGAGTGGGATGGATGGACTCCTGCAGGACCCAGAAGGGGGGGAAGACACGGCACGGCACGGCACAAGCACAGCGCAGCAAACAGCAAACAGCGCAGCTCAGCGCGCGCTGGGCAGTGGACAGCGAGAGTCTGGTGTCCTAGGCTGGACTAGTTTATATGTCGGAATGCAACGGGCAAGGGCCAAAGTAGTCGTGATGACGAGCGGACGAGCCACTCAACGAAGTCCACGCTGCGTGAGCAATTGCACCCCCCAAAGCTGATTGGAGTCTGGGGGCTGATCATGCATGGCAACCGCAGCTTGCAGCGTCACGTCGAGGTCGAGTCGAGTCGGAAGTTGGGGCGAGAGGTAGAGAATGGAAAAGGATTGGATGTGTGTGGTTCTGCCTCTGGTGCCTTACAAGTTGGGCCGCGAGACGACGTTGTCTCTCGGGATGGGCCTCAACGAACTAGTACAGGAACCAAGGAAGAGGAAAAGGAATGAAGAACAAAATATGAAAAGTCGGAGAGGAAAAAGAGGAGAGTAACACAGACAATTCCCATATGCAGACCTTGAGCAACGTTTCTCAGCGTCTGCACTCTCCGTAGCTTGCTATGCTTCCACAGGATAACGCGGCAGACCAAGTTTGGGCGTGGTTTAATGGCCAGTTACCTGACATCACCCTAACGCATCAGGCATCTAGAAACGAATCAAAGTGCCCCTCCCCCGCGTGGGTGGGTTTTGAAAATGGCCAGGCGAGGGCAGGCCAGGGGGGTTGGGTTGGGCTGGGTTTGTTGTAGACCAGGCCTTGTCCTGTCCTGTCCTGTCCCTTGGCTTTTGCTCTTAGACCCCGTAACGACTGATGTTAAGTTCATAGAGATAAAGTCACGTGTATGTGCTTGCACAGCATAACGCTGTACGAGCTAGAATCATACGAGTTTTGACGGGCAGTTCTTGTCCAACGATAACTTCGTGGGTGGCTGGTATCCCCAAGCAAGAAAAATATGAGATGATCAGTTTCTGTCGGTGTGATGTCACGTGGCTGAGCTAACTGGGACATTGCATTACACTAACAGAGCACATGAACGAACCCCCAGATATTCATTATCCACTATCCGTAGGCCTTTGTTCAAGAAATGCAAGTGCTGTATATCTTATGCAAGAAATATCTATCATTGCCTGTTTTTGATACTCACCGGAGAAATAACATCACTGTGGCAAGATCAGATTTCTGTCCCCAGACTACTCAAGACAGAACATCATGAGTTAAGCAATGAATCGCCCCCACTATCATCATCAATTAACTCAACCCCTAAAACCTCACCCGAAACTCTATGACTTTAAACCCATCCTCCGTTCACTTCCGGACCTTGATCATACCGGCGATTTCTTCATGTGGGTCATTAAACTCGGCCCGGTCCAGACATCGGAAACGGAACGGCCATGACGGAAAATGACGGCGTTCCTGCCGATCTTTCAATGGCCTTCTCTCTTGTGATTTTGACTTCCTTAGCAATCTGCAGGGTCTTTTACACCCCTTATAGTTAGTATCGTCATCCTTGCGAGCATGTGTCTACTATGTAGGAGTCTTATGTTTAGCTCCCTGGTGTCACCATCTCATTCATGCACTTCTAGGCAAGTAAGATGTCTATTACATCATGTCTGTCATATATGTAGACACAATTCGCTGCATTCTGCTTCTCCTTTCTGCATGAAGGGTCCGGCGAGCATTGGGCTCCATCACTGCACAACGTCATTGATACTGAGGTGTGAGAATAATCGTTCATAGACGAATCAGTGTCTTAGGCTGACTGCCATGATATTTTTAGTATATCTTAATGCTCTTAATATTGTATAATTAAACAAATGGGTATAGATGCTATCATAAGAGACGTCATCATGTTCTTTGATGGTTAATCAGAGCTGAGAAATCTGTACGCCAATTCCCCCAGGGAACCAACCTCCAGCTAGCACTGGCAACTAGCTTATGCATGATCTACATTACATCAATCAGAGATCCTTATACCAAGATCGTTGAAGCATCCTTGGAGGCCAGTGTATTGGGAAACCCCGGCCAACCGGCCCGCAGAACCGTATTGGGCTCAACATCCAACCAATAAAGTCATATTTCCCGGCACTGCACCCCAGGATATCACCCCAGAATTATCTTCTCGGGGCGACATTTCAGCCCACCAATTTCTTGGGGTAGCAATTGCACCCAAGGGGTTTATCTTGGTCGTA